GATGTCCTCTTTAACACCTTCCACATTTGCATATGTTTTTGTATTAAGATGGTATTGCAGTGAACGAAAAAGATTCTGATGGTGGGGGGGGCAGAACTTCCCAGCCCCACTCCATAATCTTATGTTGTGTCAAATGTGCCACATGTGGACGTGCATTGCCGTGTAGAAAAAGAACACCTTTCCGATTGACGAGTGAAGGGTGTTTCTGATGAAGGGTTTGATTTAAATGTTCCAGTTGCTGACTATAGATCTCTGCATTGACAGTTCGCTGTGGATTGAGGAGTTTGAAATTTATTACTTCTTTAATGTCCCACCAAATGCAAAGCATCACTTTCTGCAGATGAAGTCCAGGTTTTTGGATCTGAAGTGGTTTTTGTCTGGTACTGAGCCATTATTTTTTGTGTTTAATATTCGCATAGAGAATCCATTTTTCATCACCAGTGACAAATCTGTCCAAAAATGGTTCACTTGCATTATGTGCCAGAAGATACGAAGCTATGTTCACACGTTGGAAACGATGATCATCGGAGAGTTCGTGAGGCACCCAAATGCCTTCTTTATGGAGTTTTCCCATATTCCTTAGATGTTTATGTATTGTTTCATGAGAGACATACAATTTCAGGGCCATTTCATGAGTGGGTTGCTTTGGGTTAGACTCAACAAGCGTCTTCAGAGCATCAATATCTATTCCAACATGTCGACCCATACCATCACAGTTTTTCAGGCTAAAGTCACCTAAATGAAATTTGCTGAACCATTGTTGACATTTGCGAACGTTCAAAACATTTCCATAAACTTTAATATTCTTTGTGGCTACAGAGGCATTGTTTCCCTTCGTGTATTCAAACAGCATTACATGCCGAATATCTGTCTCATCGTGTACCATCACTATAAGGGATTAGAGTATACTAAACTTTACACATTATATAGGCTACACTAACGTGATGTTTAGTCGGTTCATTTAACTATTATACGTGATGCACGTTTTTTTAGGGGGTGGTTAATGGAATATAATAATTGATTATCAGGCTCATTAAATGATTAACTAGTTGGTTATTTTTGGAAGTCATGACACTACTAGACTTGTTAAAGCTAAATCCTTGTGTGTTGGCACATCAGGCTGGAGCTTTTGAACTCAGGGTTTCAAGTGGTACAAGCGGATGAGAATGGTAATCTCCCCACCCCCACCTGGATGGGATGGCAGTCTATCGTAGGTTAACCCCCAACAACTAATAGCTAGTATCCATCATACAGCTGGAAAGACTGGAACAAGTGGAGTAAAGTGTCTTGCTAAAGGACAGCAGCATGAGGTGGGGCAGCATATAACCTGCAAACATTTGACTGAGAGTTCAAAGCATGAAGTCACTGAGCCGTGCTTGAATCGGTCAGAAAGCAGAAACTCTAATTTCGATTAGTTCATTATTTTTGTGACATTCATTCAGTTCTTTATTTCAGTTAATCTTTAATTTTATGTGACTGATAAATACTCATAGATAATTGAGTTAATTACCCAACTCCAATCATTTTAAGAAAATAAGAGGAAATTAGTTACACATCAGTTGTTTTATTCTTTAAATTAGCTTTTCCAGAAGGTTGAACCATTTGTTTTGAAAGTTTAATATTTTCAAAAAAATTTTTTTTTCCAACGTTGTTTTTTAAGTATGCTTTTTTTTTCAGTTTCTTAAAGATAATGTAATTTGTGCAATAAACAAATTATTGTTTTCATAGTTATTTTAATTTCTTGTTCTGTATGCCTTTTTGTTAGAAGTCAGCCTATAATAAACATGATATGGAGAACGTGTGTATTATATGTATATAGTACATTAGCATATAAAAATTAAGTGTTCGAGCTACATTTTAGCCTACATAATGTACATGTAGGCCTACCTTCGATGTTACCATAGGACAGTAGTATTCTACCTTGATACTTTGTATGTTTGGGTATTATACAGTGTTGAAAGCTGTACATGTAGGTCAACCTTCGATGTTATCATAGGACAGTAGTATTCTACCTTGATACTTTGTGTGTTTGGGTATTATACAGTGTTGAAAGCTGTACATGTAGGCCTACCTTCGATGTTACCATAGGACAGTAGTATTCTACCTTGATACTTTGTGTGTTTGGGTATTATACAGTGTTGAAAGCTGTACATGTAGGTCAACCTTCGATGTTATCATAGGACAGTAGTATTCTACCTTGATACTTTGTGTGTTTGGGTATTATACAATGTTGAAACTTGTACATGTAGGCCTACCTTCGATGTTACCATAGGACAGTAGTATTCTACCTTGATACTTTGTGTGTTTGGGTATTATACAGTGTTGAAAGCTGTACATGTAGGCCTACCTTCGATGTTACCATAGGACAGTAGTATTCTACCTTGATACTTTGTGTGTTTGGGTATTATACAGTGTTGAAAGCTTATTGTAAGGCATGAAGATCCATTTTTTAAAACCAAGATGTCAGTTTTCTAGATGTTTTTCTGCATTATCTTTAACAAAAGATTGTAACTTCTTACTCGTATGTCAGACTAATATACCTGTTATATGTCAGATGTATATCCTACATTAGTGATACATGTAACCACAGCAAACTGTCACCATTAGGTTCATTATTATCAGGTGAAAACATTTACACAACTATTTTTAATATCATGCCTACTTACACGGCTTGATGTTTATTCAACTGTGAAGCATGCTACTGTATTCTGACATTTAGAAATGAAACTGATAAACAAGTATTTTGTACTTCTATGTTTTTTTTCCACATCTATTGGGTGTAATAAGATTGCATTGAGTGTAATCAGGGGTAGAAATAATGAAATATAATTACATTCACTCGAGGGAAGGCTACGAAGATGATTACATTCCCCCACGTAAAATTGCATTTCCTCATGAATCGTTTTATTTAATCCTTGCAATATGCGTCTCATTGGTCGTAACTAAAGGAATACAGATGGACCACGCATTTCCAATTGGGAAAGCCAACTAAAAGTTAAATTCCTCGGGAATGTAATATTTTGATCCATGATAATATTGGTCAAATTTACCCAGTTAACAAATTTTGTTGATGTGTTTACGTGAACATGTTTTAAAACTAAGATGTGCAACTTTGTGATATTAACCTCTAGCCTAGACTTATATTCAAGTCTTTTAATAGCAAGATGCGTTTACCGTGTGTTTTGATTTAGTTAAGTGTTTTGTCGAAAGACTTCTTCACAAGATGTCCACAATGTACCTACATGTAACGTAGATCATGATTTATTAGAAATGTCCTAATGTACCTACAGTGTATCTACTTCAAACAGATTTAATTTTATTGGATGTGTACTCTTAGAGTACTTACCATATATAAGAAACTCGTAATCCTTGGTAGGAGTATGTCTCTCTTTTATTAACCAGAACATAGAACTAAAAGAAAATAAGAATATTCTAGTAACTGAAATTTGATGATGAGGAACCCACTTTGAGATTAATGATGGTTGGAGATGGCTTGAATGGGTAATGAAGAAAAACTTTAATTGCTCTTATGTTAAACTTATATTAAAGTTTTTCTTCATTACCCATTCAAGCTGTCTCCAACCATTATTAGTCTGGTAGTTAATTTGTGGTATTTGATCAGCTGACATACAGAATGAGTATATCACATGAATATTGAGTCAGCATGAATATACAAGTATGTTTGTGATTGTTTAGCTTTTTCGTGTGTTTATACAGGCTGTGCTTTATATAATACTGGGGTTCTAAACTGAAAACTGACTGTGCATGTTTCAGAATATAATTCATAGCACATGGAAAGAAGTGTGGATAAATGTATTTTTTCTCAGAATTTTAAAAGTCGTATAAGAGTAAATTTATTGGAAGAATAAAGTGTTTTTTTTATGGAGTTTAACTTAACCCTTTCGAGACGGGTCATGGGTGAAAGGCCTGTTATCTCATTTGTTGACTCGCATTCAAAATTGCATTGAACTACTTTTTCATGAATTTATGTCATTAAGTTTGGTATCAAACTGTAGATTATAATTTAAGTTTTAGAAATATACATTACTAAATTTGTTAATTTAAAAATAAATATTGAAAAACACAGATAAACATTAGTTTTTTTGTGTCACTTGGTATGTTGAATGCAGCACTAGTTCAAATTAGTGAATTAGAAACTCAAATTACAGATATTGACAAGCTAGGATATAAAATAAGAAGGTCTTATCTTTTCTATTTGCTAAGATATTGCTCATGTAATAAATCAAATATAGTAGCACCCCGCTCACCTTCTTCCATTTATGGAAACACTCCCTTGTATACACTTACTTCTGTATATGACATGAATAACCAATCGGAAGCTCAGAATGTCCCTCTAGTGGTTTTCTCAGCCTTTTTAACGGACTTTGTGCCATTTCTTTCTTTTGAACCAATATATCAATGAGGTAGGTTGTCTTTAGTCTGCTCTAAATTTTATATTTTTTTAGACCCAAATACAGCTTAATTACTGAGCTTGATAAATTGTAGTAGAATTCTTTGGTATTGATGTAGTAGTTTGACTTTTTAGTTATTCAGAAGTATATATAAAACCTAAAAAAATATTTTGTTTCATATCCTCCACGTGCAAAATTTTTAAAGGCTTAGCAACCTACATCAAGCAGCAACTGAGTACAAAGGTTGTAACTAGAAGAAATAATTGTTTGCTTTACTTCGTTCTTTCCTGTTCTGTGTTTTAGGAAAAATAACTTCAAGAACGTATTTCAAAATAGCAATAATCTATATACATATATAATATATAATAATTGAAATGTGACTGTATTTTACAAAATACTAAACTAAAACACTGCCAAGGCAAGTTTCTTTGTAAAGACCAAAGGTCACCTTTATGTTATTTGATACGGTAACATGAGTGTACGTGAGCCTGAGCCACATCGTTGTAACTTCTGTATTGTTAGCCAGGCACGGGTGAAAAGTCAATATAATAAATATATATAAATGTATAATGTTATGAGATTTAAGCTATTTTGT